GCTTGGAGACTGCTTTGTGGAGCACCTATGCTCGGTTCGTGACAAACGACTACACCTCCCAGTCGCGAACCACTTCAACTCCCCCTCCCACTCCTTTGTCAACATGTCCATCCTGGGCCTCCTCCAGTGCCACAACAATGCTACCCGAAGGCTGGAGGAACAGCACCTCAGCTTGGATACCCTGCAGCCCAATGGTCTCAATGTGAACTTTACAAGCTTCAAAATCTCCCCACCCCAACCTCATCCCAAGACCAGCCCATCTCGTCACCGCCTCCTTGACCTATCTGTCTTTTCTCCCGCCTATTCGCTCCTCCCACCTCACTGACCAACCCCCACCTCCACTTCCTACCTACTAGCCTCATCCCCACCTCCTTGATTTGTCCGTCTTCCCTCCCACCTACCCGCCCCTCCCTCCTCACTGACCAACCCATATCCCAACTCCCTACCTACACTCACCTTTACTGGCTTCATCCCAGCCTCCTTGACCGTCTTCTCTCCACCCATCTGCTCCTCTATCCACCTTCTATCATCGCCTCCCCCTCTCTCTATTTATTTCAGAGCCCCCTTCCCCTTCCCCTCCCCCATTTTTGAAGAAGGTTCCAGACCCGAAACATCAGCTTGCCTGCTCCTCTGATGCTGCCTGGCCTGCAGTGTTCATCCAGCTCTACATTTTGTTATCTTAGTTTAATACCTCTTGATTATGTATCCCTAATCCCCTGTATGAATGTCTTCTTACATACAAAAATATATCCCAGCTAATTCTACTGAATGCCTGCTTTTTCAGAAAGCTAATGAGGACTTCTGTTGATTTCTTCCACGAACAGCAAGCTAGAGTAAATCTTCCTGCTGCTTTTCCCTCATGAGATCCAAACTGAGATTAAGGCCACACTCACATTTCTGGGGATAATCAAGTCTGGTCATTGGATTGTGTCGATAAGGTAATGATTACTGTGAACGTGGGCAATCAAGATAAAAGGGTGGGATTTCAGACCAGAGGATGAGACTGAGAACTTCAGGAGCGCGCCACTTCACAACTCACCATCACTCCAGCTCCTACATGGTGAAAGTGGCCAACAAGAGCATGGCAATTCGCAAAGCCATGGTCACTCGGGTGTAAACTGTGGACATGAAGGCTTAAAAAACAAGGCTAAATGAAAATGGAGGGAGGCTGAAAAGTCTTTGGCACACAGGGATGGCAACGCAAAGGGGAACTTGGAGGAGAGGGGCATCATCCTGTTGGGGCCTTCAAATCACTCACAAGGACATGAAGTTGAAATCTTGCTTCCTTTGATCCAAAACCAACACTGCAATAACTACACAATATGGTTGCCACAGCAGGCAGAGTGACCAGATTACTGCTGTAATCTCCAGATCTTCGACAGTGGAGTAATATTGTTTATATGTGAAGTTCCTGCTAGGGGCAATTGCATTAATTATGCTTCATTCAGTGCCTGGTCATTCATTGTTCAAGAATTATGGCATCAAGTAATCATTGTTCTCACTAATTGTGCCATTGTCATGTCAGTCACTAATTTGAAAGCCTCACCTGGGCTTCATCTCTTCAGAGTCACCACATTCACACACTGAACTGTAAGCATGCAAAGGTCCATGATGTGCGAGAGTGCATTTATTTTCCGGATGAAGGTAGCAGGCTATCACGATAGAACACTGCCAGAATCCCAGTTCCCCAGTTTAGAGTGAATAAGTTAGTTGTGCAACATATACTTGGAAAAATTTCAATACCTCAGAGCTCCTTATTGAGACATGACATTGACCAACTTGCATGGCAGACCATGTTCAAGCATAACATGATAAATGATCAATGTGAGGGCTCAGGAGTGCCATTAATGAAATAATATTTTCTTTCTGACATTCCCCATCGACTACCTGCTCATACATCTGATGCGGATATGGCCAAGGCTGCAGTCTTTGTGGTATTACTTCAAAAGTAAAGGCAATGTTGAAGGAGCAGGCAATTTGAACAATGTCAGCAAATCCTGCAAGAGTAGTAAGCTCAAGTGGCTGTTGTACAATGCCCAAAAGAAAAAGCAGCAAGTGAATATTCGCCAAGGAGGTGGAAGAGAATGATGAAAGCCTCACTGTCATTATCTTCCACTCTCTGAAAGACTGCACAGACACAGATGAAGGATGTCTTGAGCCATCAGCACCGACCTGTGTCATCAGCTATAGAAGGACTTACACTCAGAAGAACTGGATGGCCCATTTTTCAATGGCTGCAAGGATATAACTGTCCTGAATTTTTAAGCCAAGAGCTGAAGCAACAACTGGGTATCTGTATAGCATTTCACAATCCCCAAATCATAAACACATCTGGGATATCAGTGATACCATTACTTTCCATCCTTTGTTCTAGTTTACCACCTACTTCCGATGAACCTGCCTGCGGATCTTATGCTTACTTGTGCAATTTGATAATGTCATTAATAGCTGAGACCATGGATTGTATTCTGCCTGGGCTAAGCTGGTCTCCATCAACTCTCTGAGTGTCACATACCTGGGGCATTTCTACCTCAACCAGCTGCAGAGATGCATCAGTGATGTGCTCACCAGAAAGTGCTCCTGAGTCCTAATCCAGAAAGAGTACCCACCAAAAGTGTCAGTCTCTGAGCTGGAGGAGCATGCAAGTGAAGGCCTTGCCATTGCATTCTCTAAGGATTCAGTAGCTTTCTCCTCAGAGATGGAGCTAAAGGTCTCTAGTGCTGGTTTGTTGGATGCTGCTGGTGCCTGCCAAAGAGAAGAAAGGGAACTAGTTGTGTAAGAGAAATAAACACTTAAGCAGATTAAGAATGAATTGGCATTGGTGATAATGGAAGAGCAGGACAATACAACACAATGAAGTTGTGTACCCCTCTCCATGTGAGCAGCCGTCCTCTTCTCTAGCTAGCTGGAATATTTTCTCTTCATATGACACAAGGAGATCTATGTCCACTCCCTCCACCTTCCCCATCACTAGTCTTGGCCCAATCATGACACATTCATCTTGCACTGCGACAAAGATGGGGGGATTAAGTACAATTGAAGTGAATGGAGGAACAGTTAGTGGTGATGCAGAAGAGTTGATGACCCCAAGTGAGTGATGAGGAAATATAAAAGGCCAGGAAGGGTTAATAATTTGAGTGGATGGAATGACTGAGTGCCTTTGAATGAGCATAATGCAGGCAATAGTGGGAGTCCATGAGTATTGGTGAGAGGCATCTGCAGTGACAGAAGTAGAGTGAATGAAGCACTGGGAGTGTAAGGTAGATGAGAAAGTGCTTAGCTTTGCAGAGCACAGAAGATCATTAACACTTTTTCTACACTTCAGTGCATTTCACTTTACCTTGAACACTGCACTGACTCAGGCCATTGTCTCAATCCACACTGACCGAGTCTGGTAACATGGCCTCCTTTGCCAAGCTGCAGGATAAAGTGCCTTCCTCTTCTCCATCATTCTGTCCACCATCAAATCCTGGTAAAGTGGGAAGCTAACATACCTTTCTGATCACGCTGTCTGATAACAATACAGCCACCCATGTATGAAGGGCAGCTTCTGGCTCACAGTGTCTGAAATGGTGTGCATACGACACCAATGGCATGAGTATAGGAGTGTCCCAGCAACAGTGAAAACCTCATTCTCTCCTATCATCTGATTCCATAAGAAGGGCACTGTAGCGGCCACATCCAGAGTTAATAAGGTGTAGAGCGGAAGATTACAAGAGAAAAGTCATTGTGAGCCAGGTGCCATGAATCTCACTCATCAAAACACCAATTCAAAATGGGAAAATTCAGTCAAACTCAGTAAGCTCCACCTATGTGACACACATAGCCTGTTCCTGCGTAGACATACAAATTAACAATCCCAAAATCTTTCTTCATTCTGGGAATCTAGATTTAGAACTTTGCTATTTCAATGGAATAACTACCTCAAATTCTTTAACTAAGTACAACCACTTACTATTCCGTAATCCTTTACTCTGACTTTATTCAGTATATACTAGTTACGTTTTGAATTGTAATGATCTTAATTTTAAGTGATGTACAGCCTTCAGATGTTTTCTAGAGGTTTTGTTTACTCAGATGTACAAATGTACTTACATATAACATTAAATTTCCAGAAGTAAAAAGCAACATCTCTAAAATATTAAAGCAAAGACATTAGGCGTTGTTAACCCGTACATTAAAAATGCCTTTTGGAACATTAAAAATTTCAAAACAGGTGATTATTTACAATTATCTTGAAATTTCTACTCTAAACTTAGAAAGTACTCAAAATATATTGCAAAATGGAGAAGGTACCTGAAAGTTAATGTTTTTGAATGACTCACTGAAAGAATAAAAAGAAAATACTCGTAGATCTGGTAACGAACTGTGCTTTTTGAAAAGTGTCCTTTGCTGAAATAAAACATATCACATACAATTACTTACCACAGCCACAACAATAGCTTGCATTTATGTAGTGTCACTAATCAACATCCTCAGGCACTCAACAATTCTGTTAGAAATTTTGTTAAAAATTACTTATTGAGCCAGAGAAGGTAGTATCAGGACATAGGACCAAAGAACCTGGTTAAGGTACACATTTAGAAATATGTTAAAGGAGGACAGAGAAGATGTTTCATTCCAGAGTGTAGGTCTTGGGAGTTGAAAGTGTGACCCACTAATGGAGAGTGATTAAAATTGCGGATGATGTAGATATCAAAGAGAAAGACTACAGCAGATTACAGAGGTGGGGGAATAAGGTCAAGGATTGACACGTAAAGAAGAAGAAGATTTTAAAATTAAGTAATTGCCAGATGGGGAGCTAGCATAAGTCAGCAAGTAGGGAAGTGATGAGTGAACAGGACTTGATACAAATTGCAATTTAGACAGCCATTGTTTGAAAATAAGATGAGAATACTACCTTGACATCAAGTAAGCATTCATAGTATCAAGGATCAGGAGTAAACCTGAAGTCAATAGGAATTAGGAGCAAAGCACTCCACTGCCTAGAATCATAACTAACCCAAAGGAAGAAGGCTGTGACTCTTGGGCGTCAATCACTGCAGGTGGAGACATCACCGCAGAAGTTTCATCATTTCCCATTTAGTCAACTTCTTCAGAGATGCCATTACACACCTCTGGCACAGGTGGGATTTAAACAGGTTTGTTGGTCCAGAGGTAGGGACACTACCACTGCATCACAAGACCTCTATTTGCAGGGGTTTCACTCGGCAGGCCTAACCATCTTCCGATGCTAGATCAATGACCCGAACATAACATCAAAAGTAGAGATTTTCATTGATGGTTCCACCGTGTTTCAGTGAAATTCCTCTTTTTTCTTCATTCTTTCATTTGATGTGGCTGTTGTTAACTAGACAACTCTCCCATGAGTGAGGGAGTGAGGAAGGGTCAGGAGTGAGTGAGAGTGCGTGAGTAAATGTGTGCATTGAGAGTGAGGCAGGAACACACCCACCCTACTCCTTCTCCTCTATCCCCCCCAAAGTCCGTTTCACAAAGCAGGCTGGGAGAGGAAGAAAACTCACACTGAAAGGCAACCCATTTCTGACCCTCACTTTTATATGAATTCCATAAAGGCTAGCCCAGAGCATGAGCTAGAAGAGGTAAATGCAAAGTTAGTGTCCAATCCAAATAAATTCAGCCTTGATCCCTACCCTTTCCCTGGCAGTTCTTTGGTGGGGTGGGGTGGGGGCAGAGGGGACAAAGGGCTGCGGATAGGCTCATCTTCAGCATGAGGAGTAGGAAAGACTTAGATTTCCGGCTACTCAGTGGGTTCCAAGGTCAGGCCCACTTGTCATAGATGAATAGCTACAATGAGAAAGACCCCATGGACTGAAAGCGTTGCCAGAAAAGAACAAAAAGATATTAATTATCGCCCAGACTTTTCAGGGCCTCTACAGATCCGCTATTTAGTTGAGATCCAGAATTAGGGTAAAATAGGGCATTCCTGCACTAAAATGCCTAAGATTAAACAGAAAACCCAGCGAAGCCCTTCCGAACCTATTTACATCACACCGAGAATGGACAACTGCAGACACAAACACTGCACAGGATCAGGTGCAAGTCTTACTATTTCCCTGGCCAATGTGAAAAGTGGAGAGGCCGATGAAACAAACCTCAATCCTTTATCCTGACATCCTGCCCTGGCAAAATAGTGATTCCCTAGATGTAAACGTCAGGAATGTCAGCTTCGTTTCTTCCTGAAACAGAAATCCTGGATTTGTTTTGTCAAACATGAAAGGAAAAAAAAATCATTTGTGATTCATACCATCGCAGCTTTCTCTTCAAAATTTTCCTCGTCATTATCAGCGTCGTACTCTTCATCCAATTGGTATATTTCCTCGTCAAAGTCACAGATAGCTGTGTGATCCTTTAATTTTGATATAAAAATCGTTCAACAGGATTATATGCTGAAATCTTACCTTCATTTGTTAAATGTTAGTGATACATGAATCAATGTCTCAAACATTTCATTTCAACCGCAATAATAGCATGGAAGCAATGATTCATTTAGTTGATAGATAACGACTTTTTGCAACAAAATAATATAGTTGATTTGAGTTGTTAAAATAATACCTTTTCAATGATAATTTATTATTTGTTTTTATAGTTTTTCAATTACAACACTCTTTGTACCATGATTTTAAAAATTTTCACGACTCCAAAATTTAGCATTATATTTATTTGTGAGATTTGAGTGTCACTGACTGTGCCAGCATTTAGTCCTAATCTCTAACTGCCTTTGAGAAAATGGTGGTGAGAAGCCTTCTTGAGTCACTGCAACCCAGTTGTTGTAGGTACATCTACAATGCTGTTCAGGATGGAGTTCCAGGAGTTTGACCCAACGACAGTAAAGGAACAATTATATATTTCTAAGTCAAGATGGTGAGTGGCTTGGAGGGGAACTGGCAGGTGATGGTGTTCCCATGCATCTGCTGTCCTTGTCATTCTGGATGGTGGTAGTTATGTATTTGGAAGGGACTGTCTAAAGAGCCTTGGTAAATTTCTGCAGTGCATCTTGTAGATGGTACACAATGCTGCTACTGAGAGTAAGTGGCGGAGAAAGTGAATGGTTGCAGAAATGGTGACAGCTAAGTGGGCTGCTTTTTCCTGATGGTTTTAAGTTTCTTAGTGTTGTTGGAGCTGCATTCATCCAGTTGAGTGGGGAGTATTCCGTGACACTCCTGACTTGTGCTTTGTCGATGATAGACAGGTTTTGGGGAGACAGGAAGTGGGTTACTTGCTGCAGGATTCCTAGCCCTTGACCAACTCTTGTAGCTACAAAATTAATATTGTAGGCCCAGTTCAGTTTCTGGTCAATGGTAACCTCTAGGATGTTGATGGTGGGAGTTTCAGTAATGTAACTGAAAGTCATGGGCCAATAGTTGGATTTTCTGTTGGTAGAGAATTCTGTTGGCATTTGTGAAATTTACTTACTACCTGTAAACCCAGGCTTGGATATAGTCTAGGTCTTCCTGGACACTGACTGCTTCAGTAACTGAGGAGTTGCAAATGATGCTGAATATTGTGTGATTATCAATGAACATCATCAGTTCTGACTTTATGATGGGATGGTTGTTGGTGAAGCAACTGAAGATAGTTGGGCCAAGGATATTAACCTGAGAAACTCCTACAGCAATATCCTGGAGCTGTAGTAACTGACCTCTAACAACTGCAACCATTTTCCTTTCTGCTCATTATGACTTTGGCTTGTGGAAAGTTAGCTCCCTGGTTCCCTTTGACTCTAACTTGTTAGAGATGCACAATGCCACAGTCATTTGAATGATGTCTTGATGTCAAAGGCTGTCACTCTCACCTTACAACTGGAATTCAGCTCTTTTGTTTACGTTTGAACCATGCCTGTAATGAGGTATGAAGCTGACTAACCTTGGCAGGAACTAAACTAAAGCTATAGCCATCTTATGCTGATTGTTTGTTTTCAGAAGTCAGAAGCACTTCTGGGTGTGGACTCCACACCAATCTGAGGTGTGCACTTAGGCACAATATTCTGGGAAGCAGCTTTCCAACTGGCAACCTCCATGCCCACCATCTATGGTGCTAATTCCTGAGGGTGCATCCTCAGTCAAATGGTTTGCAGATTTGGATGGTAGCAGCCCAGTGGACATAACTCTGGCAGACAGAAATGCACCAATTTCAAAAGTCAGGCATGTGATGGAATATTCCTCACTTACCTGAATGAGTGCCAAATCCAATAAGACTCAAGAAGCTTCACACCATATCAGACAAAATTGCCCATTTGATTGGCATCACATGACAAACATTCATTCCCTCTACCACCAACACTCAGTAGCAGCATTGTGTTCCATCTACAAGATGCACTGCAGCAGTTCACCAAGGCTCCTTAGACAGTCCCTTCCAAACACATGACCACCACCCTCTAGAATGACAAGGACAGCAGATGCATGGGAACACCATAACCTGCAAGATCCCCTCCAGGCCACTCACCATCCTGACTTGGAAATATATTGCCATTCCTTCAGTGTCATTGGGACAAAATCCTGAAATTTTCTCCCTCTCAGTCTACCTACAATACGTGGACTACAGCAGTTTAAGGAGGCAGCTCACCAACAGCTTCTCAAGGATAACTAAGGTTATAAGTACTGGCCCAGCCAATGACACCCATGTCCCATGAGTGGAAGTTCTTTTAAATGTTGAGGGTCAAAGATAGTAGAGCCCTTGTAAATGAGGGAAAGATCTCCTCAAGCTTTTTTGTTTTATTGGTGTCGTCTTTACCTCCCATAACCCTAGGTTCCTTTCAGACATTCCTTCCTGGTTAAGGGTAGTATTGTATACAAAGGATATTATTATACAAACAGTAGTATTATATACAAAGAGGAATCATACAAAGAGGAATCATACAAAATTGCTCAATAAGGTAGCAAACTTAATAATGGTGAACAGTTTAGAATTCAGCAAAAGAGGACCAAGGGGTTGATTAAGAGAGGAAAAATAGAGTATGGCAGTAAATTTGCAAGGTACATAAAATAAAACCATATGATCTTCTATAAGCATGTTAAAAGGAAAAGATTATTGAAGACAAATATACGTCATTTACACATTAAAATAGGAAAATTACTGATGGTGAAAAAGAAAATGCAAGAACAACTAAACAGCTAATTTAGTACTAACGTTTCGGGTGCACTAACACTTCCTCAGAAGGTCACTGGACCCAAAACGTTAACTCTGATTTCTCTCCACAGATGCTGCCAATTAATAGGACTAAAAACTGGTAAATCCCAAGGACCTGGTCTTCAACATGCTGTACAGAAGATGGCCATGGAAATAGTGAATGCACTGTTTGTTATCTTTAAAGTTCTGGAATAGTGCCAGCAGATTGGAATATGGAAAATATAACATCACTATTTAAAAAAAGAACGATGGAAAAAACCAGGAGTTTCAGACCACTTGGCCTAACATCAGTAGGAGGGAAAATGCAGGGGTCTATTATAAAGAGTATTCTATCAGAATACTTTAAAAAGAACCAACAGCATTACACAAAGTCAACATTTCCCTTTTATGAAAATAAGATCATGTTTGACAAACCTACTGGTGCTTTCTGAGGGTGTAACTAGTAGAATAGATGAAGGAGAACCAGAAGAAGTGTATTTGGATTTTCAGCAAGCTTTTGATAAAGTCACACATACAAGGCTAATGTACAAATTCAAAGCACACAGGATTCACGGTAATATACTGGCAGGGATTGAGAAATGGTTAGCAGTATGGAAACAGAGTAAGCATAAATGGGTCATTTTCAGAGTAGAAGACAAGGAGATGTGGGGTACCAGAGAAATCAGCAGTTGGGATGCAGCTGTTAAAGATATGTAGCAATGATTTGGGTGAGGGAATTGTGTACATTATTTTCACGTTTGCTGATGACATAAAACTAGGTGGGGGTGGGCATGGTGTGAAGAGAATGGAAAGACGCCTCAGCATGAGTTAGACAAGTAGAGTGAGTAGGAAAATACTGGGCAGATGCATTGTAACAGATAAATGTGAAATTGTCCATTTAAGTGGGAAAAACAGAAATGTTCAGTGTTATGTAAACGGTAATAGATTAGGAAAGGTTGACGTACAAAAGGACCCGGTCATTGAAAGCAAGCATGGAGGTGCAGCAAACTGTTAGGAAAACAAATGTACATTGGCCTTCAATGCAAGAGGGTTTCAGCGCAGGAGCAAGGATGTCTTATTGCAGTCGTGCAGTGAGTTCACTCCTGGAGTATTGTGCACAGCTTTGATCTTCTTACCTAATAAAAGAAATACTTGCCATACAAGGAGTGCAGCAAAGTTTCTCCATGTTGATTTTTGGGATGTCTAGTTAATCATATGAGAACAGATAGGGGTCGACTAGGCCTGTATTCACTGGAAGTTAGAAGAATGAGAGGGGATCTTAAATGAGAGGAGAAGTATTAAATTCTGAAAGGACTGGATATACTGGATGCAGGGATGATGTTTCCCTCAGCTAGTAGATCAGTCTCAGGATATGCGGTAGGCCATTTGGAGATATGGAGAAACTTCTTAACTCAAGACGGTGCTAAACCTATGGAGGTGAAGTTGTTGAGTATATTTGAAAAAGCTAAAAATAGATTTCTAGATACGAAAGGTGTCAACGAGAATGGGGAGACAGCAGGAATATGATATTGAGTTAGAGGATCAGGTGTGATCATGTTGAATAGTGCAGTGGGCTCAATAGGCCAAATAACTATTCCAGTTCCTATTTTCCAAGTTTCTGTGTTACTATATCTTCATTTTGCTACTCAAAGGTTGTTAAATGTTGGCACTTACATAGAAAATTGGATTTTCTGAGCCTTTGTCCTAAAATGCATTAGTAAATAATTTGAGTACCGGCATCGTTTTTCATCCTATTGCAACAAGGAAATTCACAGGAAAAGCCCAAAGATAAATGAAGAAACAGAAAATCTATTCTGAGATCTTTTCCCAGAGAAGTCTTCTAATTTTCCTTCTCTGGGCAGGAGATTCAGAACGGAAATGGGGAAAAAAACCTTTTCACTCAGCAGATGGTGTGAATCTGGAATGCACAGCCTGGGAAGGTAGTGGAGGACGGAAACCTTACAACGTTTAAAAAAATATTTGGACAGGCAATTCAAATATCATAACATTCAAGGGTATGGGACAAATGCAGGAAATTGGGATTAGCACACTTTTAGTGGTAGGTATGTTGGGGCTGGCTTGGTGGGCCAAAGGACCTTTTCTGCATTGTATGAATCTATAAATCTATGAATTGACCAGACAATGCAGTAGTTCATTAACATTTTCATTTATTGCAAAAGTGGAGTAATTTTTTCAAGATCTAGGTCAAGAGCAAGCAGCTCTTCTTGCTGATGATTTTCAAAAAAGAAAGGGTATTTAAATTAGGCAAGTGTAGGTGTGTTTGAATCAGGCTGCTTTCCTACCTCCACTTTAATTATATTCTGGGCTGGAAGACTTATGATAAACCTGCCTGCCCTGCCACCAACTGAAGATAAAAGTCATCTTATAGAATTAAAGATCTAAGAGGCTAGGGAGAATGAGGAATTGAAGGAAATTAATACTGGCAAGAAGTTGGTTTCTTTTTCATTCATTCACAGGATAAAGGTGTTGCTGGCTGGGTCAACATTTATTACCAATCCCTAATTGCCTAGAGGTCAGTTGGAAGTCAATCACATTGCTGTGGGTCTGGAGCCACATGTAGGCTGGGCCAGGTAAGGAAGGCAGATTTACTTCGTTAAAGGACATTAGTGAACCAATTGGGTTTTTCCCAACAATCGACAATGGATTCGTGGTCATCATTAGACTCTTAATTCCAAATTTCTATTGAATTGAAATTCCACCACCTGCCGCAGTGAGATTCACTAGGCCATTGCCTCCCCTCTGCTGAAAAATGAATTAGACTGAAGATTGATATGTCCTAAGACGTGATATTGTACATACAAGCATGTTGATAAAGGTAGCTATGAAGATAGTGGCTGTATTGGTGATCATCAATCTATTTCCTTTGATTCTGGAACAGTTTATGCAGACTGGAAGGTAGCAAATACCACCCTACCACTTATGAGGTTAGAGTGGGAGAAAACCAGGAACTACAGACTTGCTAACCTTATATCAGTAGTGGGGAAAATGTTAAAGTCTATTATAAATTATTGATAAATATGAGCTTGGATAATAATATTCTGACTGGGCATATTCAGCACGGATTTCTGAATGGGAAATCATGCTTGATGAATATCTTGGATGATGCTACTAACAGAATGAATAAAGGGGAGTTGATGGTCTTAATATTCTTGGATTTTCAGAAAGCTTTTAATAATTCCTCATTGGATGCTGCTTAGCATAATTAAGGCATCTGGGATAGGAAGTAATATACCCATATGGATTAAGAATTTTGGCTAACAGATGGGAAACAGAGAGTGGGAAAAAATGAGTCATTCTCACATGGCAAGCTGGTTTGGGCCCTCACAACATATATTAGTGATTTAGAGATGGGGACAAATGTAATATTTCTCCAAGTTTATGCATGACATAAAGCTAAGTGTGAATTTGTACTGTGAAAAGATACAGAGCATCTTCAAGAGGATTCAGACCTAATATATGAGTTAGAATGTGGCAGATGGAATATAATGTGGAATTTTGTGAGGTTGTCCTCTTTGGTAGGAAGAACTAATGTGCAGAGTGTTTTTTTAAATGGTTGGTGGTTAGGAAGTGTAGACCTGGGTAGACACTTCATCAATAAGTCACTGAAGGTTAATATGCAAGCACAGCAGGCAATTAGAAAATACATCGTGGCAAATGACAACTGGGTGACCTTCAAAGAGGAACTAATTCATGTACAAACAATGCACATTGCCAAGCAGAAGGGAAAGGTCAGGCATCCAAGCCAGACATCCCTGGATTTCTAAGGATGTAAAAATTAAAAGTGAAAAAGATGTTTGATAAATTCCTATTTCAGTTGAGAACAAAGCAGAGTACAAAAATGTACCATGGAGAACAGAACACGCAAACAAAAAAGGATAATGGGGGTGCATGAGAAAGCATTCAGACATAACATAAAAGAGAATCCAAAAGTCTTTTCAAGGGAGCTAAACAATAATAAGAAGATAGTCAAAGTAAAGGCAAGACAACACTCACATCACCTGGTCCATACCCAACTGCGATGCATACCCAGCTACTAACTGAATTAGGGTGGACATTGTAGTGGCATTGATCTGAAACAGCCTAAAAGATAAACTCTATTGCTTTCTCCATAATGCTGTCACACCTGCTGAGTATTTCTGTACTTTCTGGTTTAAGTACAAATACTGCATAATTTTCAAAAAAGGAGAGACAGATACATCCAGCAACTACACACCATGCATGCAGCCTGACTTAGGTTGTGGGGCAACTTTCATAAATGTTAATCAAGGACAAAATGAATTGGTAGCTGTAAAAATATGAGTTAATCAATGGAAAATTGGACAGATATGGTAAAAGCAAAGTGTGTTTAACTAATTTGATTCAGTTCTACAAGAAGCAAGAGGAGTAATGCAGATAGTCTGTATACAACCAACTGCACTGTCAAAACACATCTGATAAAATGTGAGATTTGTTAGCAAAATTGAATCTCGGGATTGAAAGTGGAGCAGCTGCATGGGCACGATCTTGTGTAATGGATTTATTGGATTGACAATTATGTTTTGGCATGGATTGAGGATTGATTAATGTACAGAAAATAGTGATGGGACTTATTAGATTGACAGGACAGAAAGAGCAGGGTCCTGCAAGTATTAGTACTTTTCCCTCAGCCAGTTACAATGTGTATTTATGACTTGGATGAGGGGACTGATGTTAACAGAAGATTTGATTGAGGTTTTCAAAGTCATGACAGACTTTGATAGAATAATTAAGGAAAAATTGTTTACGGTGGCAAAAGGGTCAGTAATCAGAGGACACACAGTTTAGGGTAATTAACAAAAGAACCTAAAGCAACATGAGGAAACTTATTTTGCGCAGGTTGGTGGAAGCAAATTCGATAATAACTTTGAAAAACTAATTCAATGAAGACTTTATTTGGGAAAAAATGCAACGCTATGGTGATAGAGAAGGAGAGTTCTTGGGATAGTTCTTTCAAAGTTCTGTCACAAGCATGATGGACAAAAGGACATTGTGATGGTGTACAGGAGAGGAACAGGGCAGATAGGGAATGAAATTTGACCCCCAAAAATCAAATCAACAGCATTAGTATATTGTCTGAATAATATCAACTGTTTGTTTTTAGATTATAATTTATTATAGATCCTACAAATATATATATTTTTTCCTTGAATCAGAATATAATTTTTGGAAGCAAACTATATTTTATTACCAGTTCCACTTTTAACTTGGGATATAGGGTTTCTTGCATGTATGAAATAGGAACAGCAAACTTAGGAAATGCCGGTGTCCAAAACAGCTTTGTTGCATCTTTGTAAATTTCCATCTGTTCAAAGCAAATACAAAATGATTTACATTTCCATGAAAATTACTTAAAAACAATTAATCATACAACAAATGTCAATGATACAAACTATACCAAAATGGAGACTATTCTTTCTTTTACTGAGTTGAATATCAGAATGTGTCACAGTAAAATTGCTTGTAGAGAACACAATGTGCAAATTCAATGTTGATTTTCATCCACTCTGACCAATAGCTTTTCCTCCATCTCTCCACATAATTTCCTCATCTGGGTTGATAAGACTCATTTCATGCTGCCTTGGTCACCTTTCAGCTCTTGTTCAGCCCAACGTAACATTAAGGGTCTTCAATATTGACGAAGTAAATAGCAAAATATAGCGGCTTTAAATATTTCACCACTGACACACAGTGGGAAAGTGTGTGTTATACACAAGATGCACAGCAGTAACTCACTAAGGCTCCTTCAACAGAAATTTCCAAACTTATATCTTCAACCACCTGAGAAGGAGAAATGCAGCAGATGCGTGGAGACATCGCAACCTGCAAGTTCTATCCAAGTCATGCAGAATCCTAACTTGGGAAGCACATTGTTGGTCTTTCAATAACAGCACTGTGGGTGTACCTGTACCAGATGGATTTCTTTCGTTCAAGAAGTCAAGTCATCAACACCTTCTTAAGAGGAATTGGGGATGGGCAAAAAATATTGACCGAGCTAGCAATTCCCAGATCTCATTAAAGGAATTTTTTAAAAGTCCCAAAAAAACAGTGATCAGTGAGTCTTACAGTCAGCAACGAAAAAAATTTGTACAACATATAAAAGGCAGTGGGAATTCTCAGTGCATGAAAACCCCAAACACATGACTCCAAGCTTTTGTTAGCATTTGATTTGTAAGAGGTGGATAAAGGTTCTTCTACCCATTAGAAGGCCAGAAATCACACGACAACAGGTTATAGTCCAACAGGTCTATTTAAAAACACAAGCTTTCAGAGCTTTGCTCCTTCTTCAGCTCCAAAAGCTTGTGCTTTCAAATGAACCTGTTAGAATATAACCTGGTGTCGTGTGATTTCTGACCTTATCCACCCCAGTCCAAGCAAAACCCTTAGAAAAGATACAAACCCAACACAAAGCAGCGTTGATAAGGGGCTCCATCAGTGACTTGTTAGAGTCACTTTGAGAGATGAGCAAGATCCTTAGAAATTTTGATCCCATAACATAATCATGCCTCTTATTAAATTTCAGTTTATGAATAAAATATATATCCTTAGCAAAGGGTATGAAACAACCAAAGCCTGTTATTTATTGCGACAGTACTTTTTCTTGATTGTACAGTTAGCATTATTATATTAATTACTTACTGACTCTCCCAATAACATAGTTCTGGGTCTTTCCACATAATATTCTGCAATTCTTTGCCATTCCATCAGAAATTCAGGTGAAAGTGGTGGTAAAATTCTGACACCATCCTGCACCTTTTCCTGACTCACTTCTGATGCAGGAATTCCTTCATGGATAATTCTGAAATTAGAAAACCACTACTTGTAACTTTATAACTTTAATTTGATAACAAAAAAAGTAGTATGAAGATATGGAGCACTGCAGAGCAAACAAATAATGCATTCATTAAATGCAAGTGGGAAACTATAATTTTTCTTCTATCAATGCAATTCCTCTATCGTGATATTGTTGTTGCACATTTTAATTAGTAAGTAAATGCACACTATATATTCACAATGAACTTTAATAAAATTGAAATTTAGACCTTACAAAGCTAAAATATATGTAAAACACTGGGTCTGTTGGAGATCTGAAGTATAAACAGAATACGGGATGGGATTTAGGGAAATTTGGCTGTCTGGATACAAAACTGGCTGTCCAACAGAAGACAGAGGGTGGTAGTAGATGGAAAGTTTTCAGCCTGGAGCTCGGTGACCAGTGGTGTTCTGCAGGGATCTGTTCTGGGACCTCTGCTCTTTGTGATCTTTATAAATGACTTGGTTGAGGAAGTGGAAGGGTGGGTTAGTAGGTTTGCCAATGACACAAAAGTTGGTGGAATTGTGGATAGCGTGGAGGGCTGTTGTAGGTTGCAACAGGACATTGACAGGATACAGAGCTGGGCAAAGAAGTGGCAGATGGAATTCAACCCGGAAAAGTGTGAAGTGATTCATTTTGGAAGGTCAAATTTGAATGCAGAATACAGGGTTAATGGCAGGATTCTTGGCAGTGTGGAGGAACAGAGGGATCTTGGGGTCCACGGCCATAGATCCCTCAAAGTTACTACCCAAGTTGATAGGGTTGTTAGGAAGGTGTATGGTGTGTTGGCTTTCATTGGCAGGAGAATTGAGGTTAAGAGCTGCAAGGTTATGCTGCAACTCTATAAAACCCTGGTTAGTCTACACTTGGAATATTGTGTTCAGTTCTAGTCACCTCATTATAGGAAGGATGTGGAAGCTTTAAAGAGGGTGCAGAGGAGATTTACTAGGGTGCTGCCTGGACTGGAGGGCAGGTGTTATGAGGAAAGGTTGAGGAAGCTAGGGCTTTTCTCATTGGAGCGAAGGAGGATGAGAGGTGACTTGATAGAGGTTTACAAGATGATGAGAGGCATAGATAGAGTGGATAGCCAGAGACTTTTTCCCAGGGCAGAAATGACTACTGAGAGGACATAATTTTAAGGTGATTGGAGGAAGGTATAGGGGAGATGTCAGAGGTAGGTTCTTTACACAGAGAGTGGTGGGTGCATGGAATGTGTTGCCAGTGGTGTTAGTGGAGACAGATACATTAGAGACATTCAAGCAACTCTTGGATAGGCACATGACTGATAGTAAAATGTAGGGTGTGCAGGGTAGATTGATCTCAGTAGGATAATAGGTCGGCACAACATCATGGGCTGAAAAGCCTGTACTATGCTGTACTGTTCTATGTTCTAATATTCTGGAGAAACCCAGCAGGTCTAGCATTATTTGTGAAGTGTGAAACATAACGTTTTGAGTCCAATATGACTCTTTTTCAGAACTCAGAGTTTCAGACTCAATGTTGACTCTGTTTCTCTCTCCACAGGAGCTCCCAAATCTGATTAATTTCTTCGCAGCATTCTCTGTCTGAATTAACACTGCAATCTAGAACTTATTTCTTTAAAAATGATAAAACAAGATCACTCAAACTGATCCTTCAACATATCATGTAAAATTTGATATCCTAAGCTCCGTCTTATGTATCAAACTTTTGAAGGAAATTAATAAATCAATGGCAAAAAATAATAATCTGTCAACTTTAAACCTTACCCACAAAGGCAATTGAGCAAAAATTCTAGACAAGTATTTATGTTTGCACTGTCCTATATTGCCCATTTGCATTTCAGTGATAATTTCCCCATGGTCAATACAATATAGAAATCATAACATTCCGCACCGTATAATCATTTGTACTGGAAATGGTCATGCTGTGGAAGTTGCTGTCCAAGGAGCTTTCGGTGAATTTCCGTAATGCATCTTGCAGATAGCACACACTGTTATCTTTTGAGTGTTGGTGGTGACGGGAATTGAGTTTTTGTAGATGTGGAGCCAATCAAGTGAACTGCTTTATCTGGAGGATATCAAGCTTCTGTTGTATTATTGGAGCTGCACTCATCCATGCAAGTGGTAAGTATACATTCATACTCTGATTGGTCCCTTGTACATGGTGAATGGATTTTCAATACATCAGTCATGAAAGCTTACATTGATTGCTCTTACTTTGCTATCTTCTGTTGTTTAGGAGAAGAAAAATCTTCATCTTTATAGATACGTGATTCCTCTAGCTGAATTGATTCTGGAAGTTTACTACAGCCATGCCCTATTCGACTTGGAGTATAATACAACTTTGAAGCCAGTTGCAAATCAATGGGTAATATATGACTCGGCTCAGCAATGCAAAAGTGGTGAATAGTCTGGTGTCCTTGATGTCTGCAATAAGAAATCAAAGTAGCATGAGAAATTAAGTTTTGTGAGTACATTTGACAAAAATGCATCAGTCCTTGAACTGTACATAAACTTAGAAAAGTAATCTTTTGTGGTTTTGGAAAAGAAGACACAATTTTATGCAGAAGTATCACTTTTAAAAAGACATATGTATGTTCTGAAAATAAGGCACATCCTAAACAGTTGTAGCAAAGATTGGTATGAAATGAAATTTATCCTTACTTGATGGAACAACAAAATATCTGAGTGCAAAGTTGAAGAAAATCTATTTATTAAACATCCATCAGTTTACAACGACTTTATACAGCAAAAAAAAGCCATTAGGTTGCAAATCCAGGGGTTCAAGATGTGTGAAAATGTATTCAGCAACAATTCTGATTTACTAAGTAATGGTTTGTTCTGAAAATACATGTCTGCACTGTGGGATAGAATACCAGAAATCAGAGTAAAGGATGTCTAAAGCTTTGCCTCTGTTATTTTCTTTAGTTTACATTGCACAGAATTTCCTTTCTGCTCTTTGACATCATTAATACTGAGCACCCTGTGTGGTTCAATTGAAATAATTAGATCACTACATGAGACAGACTCCTAGACACACTTCTAAATCTTCCCTTCTCTAAGGAAAACAACAACCCCAACATCTTCAATACATCCTTCAATACAGTAGTTCCTCATCTATGCAATTATCCACATTTTGTTAATGCCTTCACATCCTTTGAAAAACGCAATGCTCAACATTAAACAAAATACCCAGCTGACGTTGAAACAGTGTTCAATAAAGGTTATCATTGTTTCCTTGCTTTTCTACTCTGTGCAGGATTTCTATTCCTGGGACCCGTTCCCACTGTCAGTATGAAATGCAGGACAGGGTCTGTCAAATGTTTGCAGTGAGGCCTGACATACAAGATGCATTCAATTAAATCATTGCCTCCAAGAAGCCATGAGGTGGTCAAAAATCGGCAACCAGTTTGTCAGAGGTGGGGGAAGCCATTCTCAATACCAGCCACAAACAAGGTAAAGTAGAGGGTCAGAGGAGTTGGAGCAATCAGACATGAAAGGGAAGGCCCCCACAGTAATAGGTACCGCTGCAGTTGTGGCCAGGTTTTGGAGCAGAGTCTTCCACATTGAATGGAGCCTGTGCTCTGGTGTCTACCTGGTCTACTGCTGGAAAGGCACCACCATTTTACTTGGACTTTGGTGAACAGGGCACAATTTCACAATTTGCAAATAACACAAAACCTTGAAGTATAGTAAGCTGAGGAGGAAAACGATAGACAGCTATTCATAAACATGTGGAATAGACAGACATGGCAGTTGAAATTTAATGCAGAGAAGTGGAAAGTGATACATTCCGAAAGGAAGAACATGAAGGTGGTATAAACCAAAGAATAAAATTTTGAAAGAATGTAAGAACATAAGAAATAAGTGCAGAAGTAGGCCATCTGGCCCATCAAGCTTGCTCTGTCATTCAATAAGGGCTGATCTTTTCATGGACTCAGCTCCATTTACCCACCAGCTGACCATAACCCTCAATCCTTTAACTGTTCAAGAAAGTATCTAACTTCACCTTAAAAAAAATTCATCAAGATAGCCTCAACTTATCACTGGCCAGGAAATTCCACAGATTCACGACCCTTTGGGTGAAGAAGTTCTTCCTCAACTCAGTCCTAAATCTACTCTCACTTATTTTGAGGCTATGCCCCCTTGATCCAGTTTCACTCGCCAGTGGAAACAACCTCCCTGCTTCTACCTTATCTATTTCCTTCATAATTTTATATGTTTCATTTTTCTAAATTCCAATAAGTATCGTCCCAGTCTGCTCAATCTCTCCTCATAAGCCAACCCTCTCAATCCAGGAATCAACCTAGTAAATCTCCTCTGCATCCCCTTCAGTGCCAGTATGTTCTTTCTCAAGTAAGGAGACCAAAACGTACACAGCACTCCAGGTGTGGCCTTATTTTTAAACTCCATCCCTCTGGCAATGAATGATTACATTCCATTTGCCTTCTTAATTACCTGCTGCACCTGTAAACCAACATTTTTGTGATTCATGCATAGCAGCGTGCTGCAATTTTTCAAAATTTAAATAATAGTCCATTTTGCTGTTATTCCTACCAAAATGGATGACCTCACATTTACCAACATTGTACTCCATCTGCCAGATCCTTCCCCACTCACTTAACCTATCTATATCCCGCAACAGACTTTCAGTGTCCTCTGCACATTTTGCTCTACCATTCATTTTAGTGTCATCTGCAAACTTTGACACACTAAACTTGGTCCCCAACTCTAAATCATGTATGTAAATTGTAAGCAAAGGGGATACAGGAACAGAGAAAATACTAATAAATGTGCACAGTTCATTAAAAATGGTAGAGCAGGTAAAGGAGATAGAATCTTGGGCTTCATAAATAGAGGCATCAAGTAGAATTTTCACTGGTTCATGGGGGCAGGCTCCCTGGAGGAGTAGAGCCCAAAAACAGCAAAGAGAGAGAGATTGAGAGGTGAACAGCAACTAGCATAAAGGGGAAAGTGCAAGTCTTCTATAGGCAGATATATAATAAAAATGTAACACAGTGTGGGGCTGGAGGAACACAGCAGGCCAGGCAGCATCAGAGGAGCAGGAAAGCCGATGCCTCAGGTCAGGACCCCTCCTCAGAAATCAAGGGGTCCCGACCCAAGACATCGGCTTTCCTGCTCCTCTGATGCTGCCTGGCCTGCTGTGTTCCT